GAGGTATTTTTAACCAACACCATCGAGAAGAGCATCGTTAAAAACATAGAAACACTGGTTATCGAATATTTTTTCGTCGCACTCATTACGTGGCAAGGGTTCAAATGGAAATGTGTTCTCTGAGCATTTATGGGTTAATGTGACGTGGTATACACCATATGAATATCCTTTTCTATTACTATTAAGACAATTACGACAAATATTAACAATTTAAGAAAAAAACTTTTCAAAAAAAAATTTCGCAGATCTGTGTTACCTTTTCCAGTAATCGCTGCATAGCTTCTGTCCCAAACGTCACAAGCTTCGCTTTTACAATTTGAATACATTTGTACTTCAAATTTATTGTTTTCTCCTAAATACGAATGTTTTTTCAACTTTTCTATCACTGTTTTTTTACATTTTTTCTCATTTTTTTCGTCCTTTTTTTCTCTAACTTTCCCAAATCCTCACATCTTAGTTTTCTAATAGGAAGTAGGTACTATTTTAAATTAAATTAAAGAAATATCTTTAAACATTCAAGTATGTGCTATTAGCGTTCTTTTATTAAAGTACTGATAATGACAAAAAGCAAATGTGCGTTTACTTTCCATTAGATTGTATTCCTTTTTTGACATGAATGTTGGGAAGTGTTTTGTTCGCGTAGTAAATTTGTTTCGATAACTTAGACACATTTCGTACTAAATTAAATGAGAAAAGTTAAGTCCACCTAAAGTAATATAAGTACTTATTTAAAATTTAAAGGATATTAATGGGATTCTCAGCAACAAGAAAAAATAAATCAGAGGGAAGTAGAAAGAAAACGAGCGACAGTTGCGGAATGAAGATAATGAAGATAAAGAAGAAATCCAATAAGCTTATGTTTTACATAACTGTTCTACTTTCTTACAATTTTCCAACAACTGTTATTGCTACTTAAAAGTTTCAAACGGTGGTGCATTATTTTAGGTTAATTTTCTTAGTATCATTTCATCATAAGCTCGTCAGACCTAAGACTGTTTGGACACATTTCCTCAAAACTACAACATCCCACATCCTTAACTTTTCGTAAACAGTAATCTAATCCAGGTCTACCCCTACTCCTCCTAACTCCTGTTTCTCACTCTAATATGTCTCTGATTAGGCCTTCATACCTAAGAAGGTGCCCTGCTAACATATCTCGCCTATTTCTTATTGACTTCCATCTAGTCCTTTGTTCTCCTACTGTTGCTAATACCACTTCATTTTTAACCTTTTCCATCCACGGTATCTTCATCATTCGCCTGTAACAACACATTTCGAACGCTTCTAATCTTTTCTTTTCCGTCGCGCCCACTGTACATCTGTCCATGTTTCGCACTCGTACAACGTCGCGCTTTTCGAATTTCTAAATTAACCGTTCGCCAGCATAGAAGTTACTTCTTTTTATTGAAGGTGACTCGACCCTGCGCTATCTTCTGCTTTATATCACTACTACTTCTTCCATCCCAACTTATCTGACTTTCTAGATACCTACCGAAAATCAGCCACTTCTTCTACTAATCATTTATCTCCTATCTTTATATTCGCTCTTTCCCTACTTTTTCTTCCCTTGCATACCAGTATTTTAGTTTTACTTTTATTTATTTTCATACAGTACTGATCTGTCAGAACCGCTACCATTTTATTTAAAGCTATCTCTAGGTCCTCCTTGCTAGATGCTAATACTGCTATATCATCTGCAAATCTAAGCATACTAATCTATTCCTACAGTTGTACTGTCTTTAAAGATGTTGATCGCATCTTCGATGTCTAGATTAAATAGTAGCGGTGACAGTGTGCGTCCCTGTCAGACTACCTTTCTAATATTTCCTTTTCTATGTTGCAGCTTCAGCTCTATAAATGCCTGTTGCTCTTTATACAAACTAAGTATCACTCTTCTGTGTCTGTAACTCATGCCTACATTTTTGAGTGTAGTTAAAATCTTGTCCCATTTAACATTGTCAAAAGCTTTTTCTAAATCTACAAATCCTATGTACGCACTCTTTCCTTTTTCTATCGTTTTCTCTATTGTTACCCGTAAAGCTAGAATGGCCCCCGCGTTCTTCTATTTCTTCTAAACCTAAATTGATCTTCCCCTAACAGCTCTTCCGCCCTTTTTTCCATCCTCCTTTGTACAAGTCTAGTTCAGCCAATTGTTATAAATGTCTCGCACCTATCCGCGTCTCTTTTTTTAGGTATCGTTAGTACCACATTACGTTTGTAATCCGCTGGGACTTTCCCCGTCTCGTAAATGTGACTAACCAGCTTAAACGTACGATCTCTAACCTGCTGTCCTGCACGTTTTAAAATTTCCGCCTGTATCCCATGTATAGCTGGCGCCTTATTATTCGTTATGTTTTTTAATGCTATATCGAACTCTTCTCTCAATATGGGAGTTTAGCTATCTCCATATCTCCACACTATCCTCCTTTTCTAATATATCTCCTAAGTCATGGCCTGCGTAAAGGTTCTCTAAATATTCTTCCCACCATTCTGCCTTTTCCTCATCTTCTATCAAAATGACTCCTGCCTCGTATATTATTACTACTGCACCCTATTTCTCTAAGGTTCCTTTTAATTATATTATCAGCCTCATCGGTTTTACCTACTTCAAACTTTTCTTCTACTTCTTTACACTTAATATCAATCCAAAGTTCCTTAACTGGCCTACACTTCCTAATTTTTTCCCACTTTATAAACTTACATCATTTTTGTTCTTCTTCGTCTGTCCTGTATTTCTATTTCCGCCTTTCTGCTATTAATCCTCCAATCTTGTTCGTTATCCAGGGTTTCCTACTTTCGTTTTGTTTTAGACCTAGTATACGAGTATCTGTAGATCTTCCACGTATAGCGCCTCTTAACGTGATGGTTGAATAAAGTATTCGCGACTGAGTACTGATAGAGCCGCTGCCCTCTTTCAATGACTTGTCTTTATCGGGCTTATCTTTAAGAACCCCCTAATTATAGTTTGACACATGGTGCGGCTCCCTAAATCACCAAAAATCGCAAGCCGATCTACCCACTCTAGTTTGTACTTGACAAGGCTAGCTTCAAGTCCTGTCGGATTGGGTTAATTTCCTAATGCGTTAAAATACAAATTATAGCGAATGAGATTTACGTTGCGCTTTTACGTGCAATTCTTCCACGAGCCGCCAATGTCTTAAAAGTTTATGAATAATATATAAAAATGATCCGTGGAAATCAGTGTGCGCCTTTTCAAAAAAACGTATCAATTAATTCGTACTAATCCTTCAGTATACGTAAAATGTCACTCATATGCATTTTTTAATTGAAATGTTTATTGACGTGACAACGTCTTATAATTCGATGGAGCCGGCTGCACGCTCGAAAAAACATGACTCATGCGGCGTTACCTCGCTCTGAGGCGTTCCATTTAAGGCTTGAAGTGCAAGCGAGAGCGCGGAACGAGCGACAAAGAGGCACAATCGGCCTCCGCGTTCGGCAGCGTTCGACATCTGTCTCTCTCCTACTTGAGTAAGCGATGCATCCGTGTGGACAGCTGCTATACAATAATACATTTCCATTTACCTCCTTCTCTATATCCATACAAAATATCTAACAAATAAAATTAAAATTTTCTTTTGAAAAATGAAACCATTCCATCAGTATTTTCTTATGACGTTGTCACGTTCAACTATCGTCAGTAAACCAACTTTACAGACAACCGATTTTTATATCTATACTAATATTATACTGTAAAGAGTTTGTAAGTTCGAATATAATGAGTATGTAAATTTCAAAAATTATTTTTTCAATATTTAGGGTGGATCTTCAAAGTAGGCATAGACTTTATATAATTAATAAAATTACTTTTCATGGAAATTAATTTTGCAACGTAAGTCGATGAAAAAATCGCCAAGCGGGGCAAGCTGCGGGCATATTGCTGGTATTGTATAGGTACTAAAGTAATTTTCATCAGTATCATCAAGTGACATGAGTAAGCCCCCAAAGCAGAATCGCTATTACAGTTCGACTTTAAGCATAGAAAACCGTCATCATCGTAAGATCGTCTTCCTTTTCTGAACTAATCCTGGCATTTCCGTAAAACTAAACATCCCTCATTCTTAACTATTTGTGAACAGTAAACTAATGTAAATCTACATCCAATGTTCTTAGCTTCTGTTTCTGATTCTAATATGCTTCTTCGTTTATTTCTTATTGATTTTCATAGTGGCCTCCATTCTTCTACTCTTTCTAGTACCTCCTCATTTCTAATGTTTTCTATCCGCGGTATCCTCATCATTCGTCTGTAACACCACATTTCGATACTACTGTGACGCTGTAGTCACTCCGTAGTCGTATGAGATGTGACTATTAAAAGTTGTGGTTCTGAGAAGAACCGATTTTATAATAGCGTTGGACACATTGCTGCATCAATGATTAGTTATGACACTATTGCAGCATCCGATGATTGACACTATTGCAGCATCCAAATAAAAGTGAGCCTGGTGTTATACCGATTTATTCAATTACTTACACGCTATTTATATAAAAATTATTTACATTGGTTTAATGGCAATAGTTATTTCAGCAGTTTACATATGTGTGGGTAATCTATGACCTAGTTAGTCGCACTGTACCGCGATTTTACTAAGTCGGCTGAAATGATGAACTTTAATTATTACACATTTGAATTGTTTATTGCTATACCGAGTGTTCCCACAACGCTATTATTTGCATCCGAAGCAAAATGCTTTTTAATCCCGACAATTAGGTGTATGGTAATATTTTGACATCCCAAGTATACATTTATTATAGCCCTGATAATCCGGACGCTAATTTATACATTAGCAATTCTTATTTTAATCTTATTTAATCACTGTAAACTGTAACAAGTGTTTCAAAATTAACACCTTTTTGGTAATTTTTAGGAACGAATTCGCAGATTGTTCCGGTCCTGTTATTCCTCGAATAAATCTTCAATATTGGAAAGATTAATATTTTGTTTGGTGTTGTTTTTATTACATTATTTTTTTATACACGTTGTGATATTATTTTGTTGTATTTACATGTTGTATATTTTATTGACTAGTAGATAGTAAATAAATAAATACATTGCATGAACACGTCCTTTATGATTAATTATAGAATTAAGAAACAATTTAAGGGAAGTTTGACTTTACAGATCGATATCCTTTATTAAAGAGTACTTGATAAACTTTAATGAATTAGTAGCAAATTTGTCAGTGGCTTTTTATGACTTCATGATTTTTCAGAAGTCTAACTTAATAATTTAAATAATCTGCAATTTGTTACCTACCTACCACTATCCGAGACAAAAGCGAGGGCAGCAAACTTCCGGGAGGGGGTGCCATTTTCGTCCTCCTATAGTTTCTTTCTTTGATACGTTGTACAGTATTATTCTTGATATATTTAATCGATTTTATTTTTTTTTACAATATTGACCCTATGAATTACGCTACCGATTAAGTATCTGAAATAAAGGATTCATGTTAAAAGAAACGGAATTTGTGCATAAAATAATTTTATTTTTAATGAAACTACAATAAAGAGCAGCGAACCGCCAGGTGTTTCATTATTTTTTACAGATTTAACAAGAACAAAGGTATGTAACTATTTAAATGACATTTTCGATAAACACATTACTATTTTTTTCAGTTTATTCATCTAAGAACTTAAATAATCGTTTAACAGATTGGGCATAATGATCTTCCGAAAGTCGACTTTTTCTTAACTTATTCAGTTCTCCTTGTGACGGTTCGTCCAGAGCTTGAGTAATACCATCGAATACATCACTAAAATAAAAATAAAAGGACTTAAATGGATTAGCAGCTCAAATAAAGGAAATTTGCAAAGCCTCTGTTGCACGGCGCGGCACACGGGATTGTCAATGCTCCATGTAAAGGGTTCGGCGCGGCCTGGAGTGGGCAAGAACGCCCTAACGCGTTCTTAGGCTTCTCGGGAAAAAACGCGTCAGGAGGATCCTTCACGCTCCAGGCCGCGCCGATCATGTTATACGGGACGTTGATTGCCAATCCAAAGAATACAGACCCATAGAAGACCACATCAATACGATTTTTTGTCGCAGTAGAATGCTCAGTTCTAACTGCGACCGTAGGAGTCGCATGGTCGAAATAGATAGGGCAGGGCAGGCTGCAGATGGAATTGTCAGCAGTCGTTGACCATGCGTCGACCAGAGTAGTTATGAGTAGGGGTGCACCTAAAAATTTTTTCTTTCAGGATGAAACATATTTTAATTAGTAGCTGATTATTATGAAGATGATGTTCAATATTTACATAAACCTCGAAATTTAGTATGTATTTTTTAATTCTCAAATGATATTAAATGTTGATTAACAAATGCAACAAAATTACTAAAAAAATATTATCGTCTGAACTCATCGGTTGAGAATAAACAATTCCATCGATTATAGTATAATTGCCATTTTATAATGATTTATCATTATCAATATTTTCTATTCTGACTGTTGCTATTCTCTGAAATGTAAATATTGAACATCATTTTCATAATAATATAATCAGCTACTAATTAAAATATTTTTCATCCTGAAAGAAAAAAATTTTTATGTGCATCCCTACTCATAACTACTCTGATCGACGCATGGTCAACGACCGCTAACAATTCCATCTGCAGCCTGTCCTGCCTATTTCGACCATGCGACTCCTACGGTCGCAGTTAGAACTGAGCATTCTACTGCGACAAAAAATAGCATTGATGTGACCTTCTATGGGTCTGTATTCTTTGCTCAGGGCGTGGATTGTCGCTCTATGAGCGCCATATAATGACTATCTTACACGGCGCCTGGAGCATGAATAGGCATTCATTCATTCAAACAGTTAAGAAGATATCAAGCTTTTCATTGTGTCTTTGTAAATACTTAGCATGACTTCTTGATTTTCTGTACTCATAATCTTCAATTAACAAATGACTATTTTTATTATAGATACAAAAAAAAACCCTTAATTAGCACTTAATTCACAGCATTTCCATGAATGAAATTGTTACTAGTTTTTCTTTTTTTCATTTCTTAACTTTTGTGATAATCAGGTTTTCATTACATGTTTATTTTTTGTTTATCGCGAATTTTTATCTGCAGCCAATGAGCACTTAAATAGCTCTTAAATTTGTCCACGGTATCATTTTTGTAATTTTGTTTCTTTGATTTGTCATCGTGCCTGAATTGTTTATTTGAACTATATGAGTGTATGCATTGCGCTATATTTGACTGAAATGTTATTTTTATCAATAAATACATGGTTTCGTGTCAGCTTCACGTCAGATAGCACAAAATTATTGTATCGTGAATAATTTTTATTTGAACAGCACCTAATTTATAACTTTGGTACCAAATCAGCTCCTAAAAAGCCCCCAATTTTGGCATTTTCGAAATTCATTATTGGGACTTTGTGGTGCCAGCTTCACGGTCCTCAGTTAAGACTCCAGGCCTCGCCAAACCTGTTACACGGAGCGTGGATTTTACACAAAATGTTTTATCATTTTTATTTTATGGCAAATACATATTTCCAAAAACAATGTCAGTTTATTAAAATGTATTGGATCTGGGTGGTACCCTTCTGGAATTTTTTGTACGTTTCTTGAAAAATTTGACGGTTGCAGTGTTTGGCGCCATTTTAAATATCTTAGAAACGAAAAGACCTACAGGTTTGCGGTTTTCATATTCCGTTTCTGAAAGAAATTGCTTATCATCTGTAGATTTTAGATGAACCCGTACTTTACAAATATTAATAATAATATTTATCGGTGCCAATATTGACAAATTCAAACTGGTATACCTTTTTTTTTTTAAATGGAATGCCATATTTTTTCTCGCATAGTAAGTACAATCCAAAATTAAATTTCCTTTCGAGTGATATACCGGTATTGGTATCTGTGACTAATAGTTTTCGAGAAATTTGCAATTATCAAGTTAACCGTTTTAAGAAGTTTGACGAGTTTATTTTATTTTTCGATTTTCAGTTTAGGTACTAACTGTTCAGTAAATATGTAGAAGTAACTGCAAAAGTTTTAATGCCAAATTTATTAAGAAGATTATTATTTAAGAAGATGTATTAAGAAGATAATGGCCTCTATGTTAAGTAAATAGTACTTATTTGTAGAAAATTAATGCATTCAAAACTACAAACATTTGATAACTGTGATGAAAGATGAAATAAAGTTTAATAAATTGAATTTTAAATAACTTACTGTGTAGGAACGTTTCCTATTGGATCTTTTCGTAATGACTTTGCTTGCAACGAAGCTTGTATTAACTTAGATAGTAGCAATCTTTCAGTTTCATCTTCCAGTCTTGCAATGGGAATGGGAGGCGCGTTATTTCGTTTACCATGAGCTTATAATGAAGAAAAAAAAAATTAAAACACACTGTAAGCATAATTCCTAAACTGTAGGTAGGATACTTACCTCCCCAACAAGAATGCCCATAGTTGAGACAGGAACCTGTAACAAGAATACAGAATAATTAATCTTTAGGGTTAAAAGTAAGTTAAGTAATATTGCGTTTCAGAAAATACTACAAACGGCACAGTGAACGCCATCTGTAGCACGATACTACATTTTAGGATTACGTATTTTTCAACAAGGTCCACTTGTGCGAATATCTACTTGATGAAAACGAATCCTGGCGTAGCCAACCTCAACGTGATAGGCACGTTAGCTTAATTGAATAAAATAATTCGAAGTGGTCTGTATTCTGTCGAAACTGCCAGACGCGGATCGCGATTTCGATCTTTTTGGATCTCATCAGCGCGTCGCAGGCAGCTTCGACAGAACACAGACCAACTTTTACCTGCTGTCTTAACAGTGTGTTTCAGACAGAATACAGACCACTTCGAATTATTTTAAGTAATATTATTAAATTACGGAATAAAAATTGCGACGGAAAAACATATTTTCTGAGTGCCTTTGTTTACTGTTGCCTCTATTTATATATTCATCTTCACTTATATCTACATGCTGGTAATTCTCCTCACATTCTTTGTTCAAAATTTTGAGGTGTCTATTTCTACTTATTTCTGTAAACTGGTTATATTATATTAAAGTCGACATTTCAATTTCATCTCAGAAATTTCCCAAAACCTAAAATTTATCATTATAAGGAGTTCATACATTATGTGTAGTAGTAAATTGTATGTTTATCTTAAGACATTTGAAAACCGTCACTGTTTACGTTTTCCGTCGATGCAGCTGCAGATTTTTAGTCCTAGTTGCCAATTCACGCGCAGGATCGGCTTCAGATTATAAATTGTGTTTATCTTAAAAAACATTTTTGCCCTTAAGGATGTTTGGGAGGTACAATCGGAGACAAGAGTACATAAAATTAGAAATTCGTGATTAATTAGGTTTTGCAGCATATCATGAGGTAAATAAATACTATCTATACACAAGAAAAAGTATACGGTTTGAGAGAAAATTTGGAATTTGACCAAAAACTTTGAATAAAATAAGAAATAACGAATAATATGGAAAATTTTTAACTGATTTGTGGCAGTGAATATGCCTTAATTTCAACTTCGAAACAAAAAAATATTTAGTTTCAATCGTTATTAATAATGAGCGTAAAACTTT